ATTTCTTTAGTAACAAAACTATTCTGCAGGAAAAAAATTCATATACATAGAAAAGCATGCAACTAGATATAGGCAATGATTAAGTTCAAACAGAAAAAAATAATTAAAAAGGTAAATGACAGAACATTTAATTATAGTACACTATAAGGCTCTGCAGTAAACAACGTTAACATTCTCAAAGAAATGTAACTATTTATCTAAAAATTTAGTATAAACTATATTGGCATGATGAGATAGAAGAATGGTGAAAGTTGTGTTGGTGTAAGAGTTCGTCAGATGCAATGAGTTCTCAAGAGATAATAGAACAAGGATAGTAGGGAAAGCCTATATAGAACTTGAGGATAAGTAGCAGCAGGAGAAGGATTTAATGTATACAAGAGTACTGTCCTTGGGAAATGAGACTCTGAATAAAATAAAATATATTATAAAATTCTATGAGTTCAAATATCACATAGTTTATAGTTTCTGAGATTTGTGTTTGCTTAAAAAGGGCTTTTCTGAAAATATTATAAAAATAATCTCATTTTATTATAATACTCTCCTAGTTTATGACACTGGTAATATACTTGAGCTTCAACAGTCTTTTCTTAACCGTTAGATTTTATTATATGAGTTATTCTTCATTTTTTAAAAATAAATTACATTCTCTTCCTTTAGGACCATTTTTAATTTCTCTTTACGGTCTGACACAAAATAACTTAGAGTGACAGATTTTCTATTTCTCTGTTTCTTTCTCCAGGTTGTCAATGGGGCTACTGAATAGCTTATGTAGGACAAATCTCTTTCCAGCATTACTTGTTTCCATGGACTGGCGCCTCACTGTGATAATTATAGTTCAAACTGGACTAAGCATTATTGTTTTCTAATAGAGTACATTCACTATGAGCTATGCTCCTCTCTTAAATAGACTTTTATAAGGTCTGAATAAGAACATTATTATATTCAATATAGAAATTGTTTTCCTATTTAACCTTTCCAAGCCATGATTGTCAAAAGTAATTATATGGGTCTGGTAGAGTTTTCTTTTGAAAAAAAGTCTCTTTATTGTTTATTAATTTCTTTGATAAATATAGTGAACAAAAGTATTAAGCACATCACAGAAAATTACTTTTTAACAGAACTGTATTCATTGAAAGTAGAAATTTTCATATGCTTCTGCATTAGTTATGTCTATAAAAAACATAAAATTTTGCCTTCACTTAATAGAGACCATATATTTAGAGGTGATTTCAGAAAATAGTACTAGCTTTGCAAAAACATATAATGGGGGAAAAATGGAGTATTTTTCCATTTATTTGTGTCATCTCTGTTTTTTTTTTTTTTTTTTTTTTTTTGGTGTTTTGTCGTTCTCCTCGTGGAGGTCTTTTACCTCCTTAGTTAGATGGATTTCTAGGTAGTTCCTTTTTTCTGTGTTGCTGCTTTAAATGGGATTGCGGTGTTGATCTGATTCTTGGCTAGAAAACTATTGGTGGATAGAAATGCTACTGAACTTTGTACATTGATTTTGTATCCTAAAACTTCACTGAAGTCATTTATTAGTTCTAGAATTCTTTCGCTGAAGTCTTTAGGGTTTTCTAGGTACAGAATTATATCATCGGCAAAGAGAGATAACTTGACTTCATCTTTCCCTATATGAATGTCTTTTCTTTCTTTCTTTTGCCTGATTCCTCTGAGTAGGACTTCCAGCACAATGCTGAATAAAGGTGGTGACAGTAGGTATCCTTGTTTTTTTCCAGTTCTCAAGGAGAATGGCCCGGCTTTGGCCCAGTCCGTATTATGTTGGCTGTGGGTTTGTCATAGGTGGCTCTTATTATTTTGAGGTATATTACTTTGATGCTTCTTTTTCTGCTTCTGTTGAGGTGATCATATGACTTTTTGTTTTGATTCTGTTTATGTGGTGAATCACATTTATTGATTTGCATTTGTTGAACCAACCCCGTATCCCAGGAATAAGGTCTACTTTATTGTGGTAAATTAACTTTTTAATGTGCTGCTAGATTCAGTTTTCTAGTACTTTGTTAAGAATTCATTCTACCAAAAAGACACATGCACCTGTATGTTCATCAAAGCACCATTTCCAATAACAAAGACATGTAACAAACCTAGATGCCCATCAGCAGTGGGTTGGATAAAGAAAAGGTGGCACATATATGCCAAGGAATACTACTCAGCCATATAAAAGAACAAAATCACGTTCCTTGCAGAAATATGGATAGAACTGGAGGCCATTCTCTTTAGTGAATTAATGCAGGAATAGAAAACCAAATACTGCATGCTATCACTTATAGGTGATAGCTAAACATTGAGTATGCATGGACACAAAGATGGAAACAATAGACACTGTGTACTAGTCATGGGGGGTGTGCTGAAAAATTCCCTACTGGGTACTATACTCATTATCTAGGTAATGTGATATCCATACCACAAACTTCAGCATCACACAATATGCCCATATAACAACCCCGTACAAGGACCCCTGAATCCAAAGTAAAAGAAAAATCATATGTGTTATTTAAAAATAAATCATGTTAGCAAGATAAACATGTATTAAAAATAGAAATAATGATTCTCATGCACTCTACTCCAATGGTGTGATGTACCCAAAGTTGAGTCATAGTAAGGAAAGTTGCACAATTACCAAGACAAGAATTATGTGGAGATTATTTCATTTCCCACACCAATAACAGGTGATCTTTTTATCACTAACAACATGGCACGGGTGAGGCAAGGCCAAGGCACTGAAGGCCTTTGCATTTTGGAGGATAATGTGCTGTATATATATATATATGTGTGTGTGTGTGTGTGTGTGTGTGTGTGTGTGTGTGTGTGTGTGTGTGTGTTAATTCTACACTAATCTTTAAAGAATGTGTACCTGTTTCTCTTGNTGTATATATATATATATGTGTGTGTGTGTGTGTGTGTGTGTGTGTGTGTGTGTGTGTGTGTGTGTGTTAATTCTACACTAATCTTTAAAGAATGTGTACCTGTTTCTCTTGGATATGGAGAAACTATTTTCAGTGTTTTGATTTAAATCAATATGAGTCTATACCGAGATCATTGAGGAGATGCCTCATTTGCCTACCATAATAGTTGAACTCTAGAATAGAAAAGAGAACATGATATAATGTGAGAGTATAAAAACCCATTCCTCTTGGGTTCTGAGATTGTCAGAAAAGCAAACCTTTCAGAAAAGCACCCCAATTTCCTTTTTATGTGCTTTTATCTAGAGATTGGTTGCATGCCAGAAACCACAGAAGTCTAATGTTGAGGGATGGCTGTGGGGAGATTTGTTTTTCACTTGCATTTGGGATCTTGAGAGGAATATGCCTCGCCACTTGCCCCATACCCACCTGGGGAACAGCCACAGAAAAGCAGAGAGACATGGTCAGGCAAGAGGAACCCTAATATTTAGCTTCTCCAGACTCTATTTGGTTCTCATACAGAATTGTGACTGAGAAGAGAGCTTGACCTGGGGGCCATCCTGAAGGCTCCACCTGGGTGAATTCCTCAGTCAGTTGGTTGACTGAGGACATGATAGGGATAGAGGAGGGAAGCCATACCAGAGAGGGCTGAGATGGAGCCAGTTCAACAGGAGAAGTGCTAAGCAAAGAGAAGAAAGTTCACATTTCAGCATCAAAACCCAGCTGTACCCAGTGACAAAATGGACTTCACTACTACACAGCCTAGCAAACACTCAGCAGTGCGCACTTGAAGGTCCGCCCTCTTTGTTCCCCAGTGCTGAGTTCCTATTAGTCATACAATTCCCCACATTAGGGGGAGAAACAGGGAAAAAGTGAAGGCTCAGTGAATGACAAAGCCTTTTACAATGAGAGATTAATTTATCGGATAAAAGTGATCTTTATTCAGTAATCAGTTAGTAAGATTTCATTTTTTTTTTAACTAATCAAAGGCCGGTGGGGGAGGGATGAATAAAACCAGTGTGTTATTGACTGAGCTAAGATTTACAAGTTGCCTTCAGTTGAAAATAGCTATGACAAATTATAAGTGTCTTTTTGTTCAAAATAACGTTTTACCTTAAAAACTAAACTTAAATATGTAGCAATAAACTATAATGTATGTAAAAGTTTTAAAGAAATATTCATATAACCACAATTTTCTAATTTCTTTATTCCTACCACTCAAAGGGAAACCACAGCTTTGTTTTGGCCTGATTTCTACCTAGATACTACTTTGCGATGCTGATGCCCTTCCATGATTTTACTGTAGAAATGTCTATCCAGACAAAAGACAAAAGACCTTTCAGTTTCTCAGCGATGCTTACAGCATTGTCTTAGCTTCAATAGCAGGTTATCTGTTACTTTAAAATAAATATTTGCATTATGTGGAGTGCAATTCTTAGTTTGATCTTTCAGTCTCTTTAGAATACAAAACACTGACTCATCTGCTCACTTCTGTTTTATACAAGGAATTAGAAATCATTTATAAAAAATTATATAAGAAATGTATTGTCACATCTCTAGAATGATGTAGAATGATTTATTTTTGTTAATACAGTCTGCCATCCCCAGCACATAGACAAAAAACACATACATAAAAGTTTACCAATTACTTAAACAAACCAGTGCTTTTACTTAAAGGCAATGGTTCTCTTATTAATGACCCAGCAACTTGTATGGTTTTCAACTTACGTTTTCTTGCAGAATTATAACTCTTTAAGATTTTATGTAAAGAGCATTCTAAAAGCTCCTTTTGACTTTCAAAATATTTACACGTTTTAGAATCAGAGTTGATTTTAAATGATATCTAAATATCATTTAAATCCTTTGCCAGAATATGCAGTATCTGTTAGACAAAAATTAGTAGAAGTGAAGAAGCCCATTAATTTGTGTATTAGTGGTCTGTAATTTTCTCATTAATATTTCCAGTTAATTAAAATAATTTGACTGACATTTAGGAAAATATAAAAGAAGAAAAGGATATATAAATGTCCTTATTTAAGGCCCTAATCTTTAATTAAGCATATTTTGTGAAATAATTACCAGTTTTGTAAGTGCCTGAGTTCAGTCTCTAAATTTTCATTTCTTTCTTTCTGTTCATCCAGAGACCTCTGGAGCTTACGAATCTGATTCAGGGAATCATCAAGCTGAAAGCAAAGTGGAAAATGCTTTAGTTAGGCTCATATTTCTATAGTCTATCATGGTGGCTACAGTAAACAACATCTTATCATATACTTAAAACTTGCTAAGAGAATAGATTGTAAGTATTCTCACCACAAAACTATAAGTGAGATAGTGCATATATTAAGTAGCTTGATTAGCTATTCTACAATATACACACATAGCAAAACATCATGTTATATATCATAAATATGTACAACTTTTACTTGTCAGTTTAAAATAAAATTTAAATTAAAAAAACATAATGACTCATTATATACGGGACATAGTTTTCTATCTCCATTTTAATAAGAAATGCCCTTAATGAAAAAAAAAGTTGAAATAAAATAACCCTTTAAAAACAAGGTATATTTTTGTGTGACAGTAACTTATCAGTAGTGTATGTGTGAGTTTCTTTCATATATGTGCATGAATAAATAAAAATATCCATTTATTTAATAATAGAGTCAATGTACATATCTGATAAAACAAACCTCAAAATGAGCTCTGAAATATTTGACAACATCTTTTCTATGTAGCCACTCTTCCCTATTTCCACCCTTGCCTCCTCTAGCTGTAAGTCACGAAGTATAATTTGTTTTTTGTTCCCATGGCTTTGAAAAACATACACATGTGTGTATACAGTCACACACACACACACACACACACACACACAAACATATATATATGCTAAGTACACATATATATGTGAAATACATTTTATTATTGAAAATACATTATTTTCTTTTAATTGCTTTAATTAAAATGTATATCATGCTGTATGTAATACTCTTCCTTTTTAAATCCAATTGCTAAGACTCATCTGCAGTAGTGATATCTCATCTGTGCTCTATTTATTCTCTCTGTTTTGTATTATAGGACTGCATTAATATGCCATAACATATACATCTACCCTCCTTTCCATGAGTATTTACATTGTCTCCAGCCTGGTGATGCTCTGAGCATTCATGTATACTGGGGTCTCTTAGTATTCATGAGATTTGTTCGAAGACCTTCTGCAGATTTCAAAATCCACATATGCTCAAGTCCCTAATATAAAATGGGATAGTATTTGCTGATAACCTACGCTCATCTTCCTCTATATTTTAAATTATCTCTAGATTACTTATAATATTTAATACAACATATAATATATATAAATACTATATAACTAGTTGTTACATTGTATTGTTTAGGGAATAATGACAGAAATCTGTATATGTTCAATACAGATGCAATTTTTAAAAATATTTTTGATTTGTGGTTAGTTGGTTGATTCCACAATGGATATGGAGGGCCAACTGTATAGATACATAGTAATGCACCACATAATGACTTTCTGGTTAATAATGGATGCATATAAGGTAGTGGTCCCATAAGATTGTAATGGAGCTATATAATGGAGTAGGCTATACCATCTATACCATATAACTCTATGACATTCACACAAAGACAAAATTACCTAATGATTCATTTTTCAGATTATATTCCTGTTGTTGACCCACACACACACACATGCATGCACACACATATAAATAACAGATGATAGATAGATGTAGATGTGATTCATCTGTGAAAAATTTTCTCTAGAGACATGCCTAGGAGTAGAATCACCAGATAACACTTTTTGTAATACTAAATTTCACAAGATAATACCAAAATACCTCCCAAAATTGTTTACTAATTTAATTCAATAAAACAGTTAGAAAGGATCTAGTTTAATCACATTTTCATTAACACTTGATGTGACATTTGAAATCCCTGATCAACAATTATGTATAACATCTATTTATATTTTTATTAGATTAATATTTTATTTTGTGTGTTTATTCAGGCCTCTTGCTCATTATTCTATTTTGACATTTGTCCATTTCTTTTTTTCTACATATATTAATGTTATAATGTTAATACTATTCCTTTGTCAGTGATAAGTGTCCCAAGTATTTTTGCCAGGTTTACATTTTTTTTTAATTTAAGAGATCTTTGGTTTAATCACAGTTATTTTTATTAAATTATGAAATCTATCGATACTTTCTCTTACAGTTGGGACTTGTACTCCAACTTTAGAAAAATGTTATTCTGTATTTTCACTATTTGTTCATGTTTTACATTTATTTATATTTTTGATCAAGTTGGAGTTAATTTTACACATGACATGAGGTAGAAATTCAATTTTATTTTTTTTCATATACAAACACATTTTGAAAGGTACGTAAGTACAAATATTGAATAGACTTTTCTCAATTGATCTGATATATCAAATCTGTCATATGTCAAAATTCCGTATATTTGATGTACAAAGTTTCTTTCATAAAGTCTGATAGCAGGCCCTTTTTTGGATAATTTATTTGGTCCTGCACATTGTCTGAATTACTGTAGTTTTTTGACATACAATAGTATAAGCCCCCTTTTCCCAGTCATTTTTCATCAGAAATACCTTGACTATCCTTGAAATTTATATCCTTTATAAATTTCAAAAACAGCATAGCAAATCTCATGAAGAACTATATTTATATTTAACCTGGACATTCATCAATTCTATGGGATAATTTAAGTATATTTGACATTATTTCAATATTTAATGTTTTTGCCCAATATCCAGAGTATTTTAAATTTTACTTAGGTCATCCTTAAAGTTTCTCAACTCAACATTATAATTTTCTCAGAAGCTTTGGAAAGTGTCTTCTTAGGAGTTTAAATTTTATTAAATTTAGTTTTATGAGTTTTATATCTTATGGTATTAAAAGTAACATTTTAAAATTATTTTTCCAAAAAATGAAATAAAATATTTTATAAGTTTTGTTGTATGTGTATAGTAAGTAAATTGTCTTATTAGGCCAGGAAAATGGGCTCACATCTGTAGTCTCACCACTTTGAGAAGCTGAGGCAGAAGGATGACTTGAGGCCAGAATTTCAAGACCAGCCTAGACAATGTAGTGAGACCCCATTTTTTAAAAGAAAAATTAAAAATAGCCAGGCCTGGTGGCACTTGCCTGTAGTCTCAGCTACTGGGTAGGCTGAGGCATGAAAATGGCTTGGACCCAGCAGTTCAGCATTATGGTGAGCTATGATTGTAGCACTGTATACCAGCCTTGCAGAGCAAGACCCTGTCTCTAAAATAAGTAAATAAATAGTCTCATTATCTGAACATTTATTTTACTAAAACATAACATCCAGCCAAACATTCCTTGGTTTTCTAAAAATTAGTCTTTCTTTTCCTGATTGAAATAAGGTAATTACTTTAAAATAAGCTCAATTTTATTTTGAAATATATCTTTAAGCTTTGAAATCAATTAGAGTTCATACTACAGTTTTCCCACGTGTGTCTTACAGCAAGTTTCATATCCACAGACAGTCTAATATTCTTGATCTTTAAAATGGTTGTACTTATAGACTTGTTATGAAGATGAAAATAGATAATACTTACAGATTGCATTATGTGGTACTAGATGTGAAGTATTTAGCATATGTTACCTAACCTAAACTTGTTTTATTAGAAGGACAGTGAAAATTAATGTGAAATGTAATCACGGGTACTGCTATTATAAGTAATTCTTGCCTATACAGTGAAGGCACTATCATGACTAGGAAAGTTAACACTATGAGCACTTAATATCTAAAGTGTAGAAGTCATCTTAGAAGCAGAATATCTCACAAGGCAAAAATAGAGCAACACTTAATCTAAGGTGATGACTAAAATGAAGCTGAAATGATAGATTCAGAAGGTTTCAGAACTTTTCAACAAGGGTGATAAGCAGGAGTATCTCATCTTATTGAAGTGCTATTTTGTCCTATATAGTAACAAAATGAAATTATCTGCAAACATTGTGAGTTGAATTAGCATGAATCTGTCTGTAATTTGCTCCTTCATCTCTTGGCTCATAGACAATATCAAGGTTTTAGAGATGCAAATTTAAGGCCAGGCGAAGTGGCTCACACTTATAATCTCAACATTTTGGGAGGCCAAGGTTGGCAGGTCACTTAAGGTCAGGAGTTTGAGACCAGCCTAGCCAACATAGTGAAACCCCATCTCTACTAAAAATACAAAAATTAGCCGGGCATGGTGGCAGGCACCTTAATCCCAGCTACTCTTGAAGCTGAGGCAGGAGAATCACCTGAACCCGGGAGGTGGAGGTTGCAGTGAGCAGAGATTGAGCCACTACACTCCAGCCTGGGCGACAGAGTGAGACTCTCTAAGAAAAAAAAAAAAAAAAAAGAAAACAGAAAAGAAAGAAATGCAATGCAGTGCAAATTTAAGCAATGGACCCTGACATGCTCTGAAAATGCTGAGAGTTCCTGGCTTTGAACTGCTCTTTTTAGGAAAAAAAATCAACAACAAAAAGTATCTTCCTCAAGTACTATTGATTGTGTTTTTTCAAATATGTTAAGAAGTGTTTTAGTTGCTGAGTGGCCAAGTTGTTTTCTTCTTAGCCTTACTGGGGTTTCCATGGGGTAGGTTTGTGTGGTTTTAATCTCTTCCCTTTCTCACAGTAATTTTCTTCAACTTTATTGTTCCAACTGAATATTTTACAATTTTAAGGAAACTTCTACACGTGTGCAGCTTCAAGACAAAATATCTTGCTTTTCCCTTGAAGTAGATTGCTGACCCTCAGCACTATAGAATAATTTTAGTATGTATTCAAATTGCAAGAAAAATCAATCCTCTATATATGAAGCCAAAGCACTGCTAAAGATGAACCAGATCCCAACTGACTGATCTCTGTACTAGCATTATTAAAATGAAATCAATTTAAATGTTAGAAAGCTTTAAGTGGTTACTCTTTCCAAGGGATGCGGGGGAGGGAAGATTTTTTTTTAGTACCCTCATGGAGAAATGTTATTCTGTAAACTCTTCTTATCAATTATTTATGCTAACAGAATGAACATTTTGTTAATGTATATCATAATGAACTCCCAAATAGTACTTAGTCTTATTTCTGAATTTCAAACATTTAGACATTTTCAGTCATACCTACATTTTGTTGAG